ATATATATATATATATATATATATATATATATATATATATATATATATATATATATATATATATATATATATATATATATATATATATACACACACACACACTTAAAGAGGAATGAAATTTGAGCATCAACAGTTTCACAAAGTTGATGTGAATTCAACAGGAACAGCGTAAAAATGAAATTAAATGGAACAGATTCCAGTCAGCTGTCTTTTCTTTCTGCAGGCATTAATAACAGGAAAAATTAGACTGCAACCCCAATTATTATAAATCTGCTAAACTTGAGAAGAGAATAAACAAATATCTTTTCTTTCCCTAAATATCCATAATGTAGTGTTTAGTATGCAAAAAAAGGAACTCGTACCTACTTGCACTCAACTTTAAATTAAGGATCTAGTTTTTGACAATATGCCTAGTGCTGATAAAACACTGGCATGATACTGCACAGGAATCAACTGGCTGGCATAAGACAAAAATATACAGAAGGATGCCTTGGCGCATGATTACCATGATGCAAACCACATCCTTCAAGTCAACATCTTGCCGGCACCACACCACAACTGTCATGGTCCAAATTGTTCAAGTCCCAAACCTAACCGATGTTTCTTTCTATGCTTATATGATATCTGCTTCAATACACCAGTTTTTTTTTTATTGCTCAACATCAAATGTTAACCATTGATACAAGGAATGGAAAAATATTGATCCACTTTGTAAATCCCCTTAACAATTAATCCAGACTAGTAAAGAAATCAACTTTAGAAAATCTCTTCAACCACTTCATAGGTAGTAAATTGGATCCAAGAATCTTGCCAATGAGAATGAGGAAAGAAGTCAATTTTATTTTTGTTTCTACAGATTGCACACAGCGGCTTGCTTAGAGAATAGGTCTCCTTTCATATTTATTTGGGTATCTATCATGACAACAATCCTAGAAACCACGACAAAATGTTGACACAGATATCAACTTATCATGTGGAGATTATGGGTGAATTGATTATTCATCTTATTGTGAGACTGTATGTTCCAGGTTTTTTATGTTTGACTTTCAAGTATACTGTTCGTATGTAATAAAGACACCCAACTCTAAAACTGTGTTGTGACCCATATTATCAACTTTAACCAGTACTATCAGTAAAAGTTTTCTAGATTCACTAATCTTGATATTTTGGTCAAAATCAGACAGATGGTTCTTTTTGCAATATACTAAAGAAACGAGGAAGTTCTAATATGTGATGTAATGTTATTAAAATCTAAAAGCTCTATTTTAAGAAGTCTACTTTAAATGGCTTGCTTGGCAGAAGGATTAAAGAAAATACTGCACAATTTTCATTATAGATTTTTCCTCTCCAATTCCAAGTGCCTAACCAGAACATAGGTTCTCATATTACTGTTCCTGTGCGTTCAATTATCTACTTGCTAGAATGAAACAGATAAAAAATAGAATAGCAAAAGTTTCCATTTAACATAATCATATTCCAGAATCAGATACTTCTATGCCCCTTTACGAAACTGATGAACTAAATTAGCCAAGATGTATTTGATGCACTGGGCAGAAGCAAAATATTTCAAGGCACTATAACCAAATTACACAATATCTGCAAATTGGCATGGTCAGCTCACTGGAGAGAACTATAAAAAGCAGTACTTACCTGAAAATGAATCAGTTTTGCTGCAGTCAGCTCATCAGCTAGACCAATCATCCTGCAGCAAAAAGAGAATTTTCAACTGAGAGTTTGATCCCTATACTACAATTAAAGAAAAAAGAGTACATAGGCACATATGTAATCGGATTTGGAATATGCAATTAGGCCTTTCATTATACACACACACACACAAGTCCTAGTGGTATATTTTTGATGGTATAGCAATATAATGTAAGATTATATAGCATGTAATAGTTTATGAAAAGGGAGTGTCAGTCATCAAGTATGTATTAGCTTGAATTCATCCTGTGTTGCACATAAATGAATCAGTCAGCTGTCAAGGAAATGATTATGATAAACCAACTTTTGCTTGTTACCAGCCAAGTCTAACTTAAAACATCATAATAGCTGGTGCAATTTAGAAATATGTATTCTGGTTCATTATGATAAGAGTCAACAAAAAAAAAAAGTTGACCCCTATCTGCCATCTTATTGCTTGTAATAAAACTTGTAATAAGACAAATTTTGAATATGTAAAAACATGGGCAAACCACGAGTTTGGCTGAACAATGGCCACTGCAACTGTTGGAATTGACAAAATGTTAATTCAAATTTAAAAAGCAACTTAAAATAATCAAACATATAATTGATAAAGGTCAGTGAAAAAAATCAGGAAAGAGACCAACAAAATTCATTTCAATGAATTTAATTTCGAATAATACCGCTCGTACTGGGCGATACGTACCAATCCACCAGTAGACTGGTACGCAGACCACCCGCCAACCTGGCTACGGCCTGGTTGTGGTGAGAGAAGAAGAAGCATCGAGAGAGAAGAGGGAGAAGGCGCTCGAAGAAGAGGGAGAATCGGGAGAACCTCGATGCTTTCCGATACGACGCCACCCTCCCTCAACGATCCTTAGACAAAAGGTAATGGAGAGGTGGCGACTCGGCTTCTATGGCGTCTGCGGCTTTCGATGCCTTTGTCGTATGCCGCGGATGAGGAGAAGTCTTCTCCTCGTTTGACGCGACGAGGAGAAGAAAAGGAGGCAACGTATGCCTCCTTTATATATATATATATATATATATATATATATATATATACGTGTACCAAGTGGTACACCCTAGCATACCGCTCAGTACGCCTATACCGTACCATACCGAGCAAAGCTTGAAACTCCGGTACGATATGAAATTACGAACCTTGATTCATTTCATATGTATCATAGATGTCCATATTTGACACCTCTTGGATGTGAGGATAGCAGTTGATCACTATGCAGATAGAGAAGGGATTGAACATAATAATCCAAATGATTTTGACATTCTTTGACACAACATACAACCTCTGCAATGTGAGGACTTGAAATCTCAGAATAGAGATGTTTGCTTCTACAAGATGTAGTGGGAAAGAAAATCAATCATGCAAAACGAAAAACAAACAAAAACAATCATGCTAACTGTACCTGGCTTGTAGCTCTAAGATTTTACTTAGCAGTAGTCGCTCTCTTTCAGTGTATGCAGCATCCAACTGTTAGAAAGACAAATATAAATGAACATTAAAGACTTTTTTCCAGCCATTGCTACTTCAATCACTCAAAGCTGAAAAAAAGAAAAATGTTATGATGATTTCTTTGTTCATATTTCATCATGTTATAAGTAGTCAGACAGAACAGTGTGCACAAGCACATCTTCAGATTTAGGTCTTGCAAGTGTAATGAACCATAGGGCCTTCCAGTGCTATCTTAAGGATCATATTAGCTAACCCAAATACAGGTTATGTTTATAGATTAAAGGACAGACAGATATATGTAGGCAAAACAAAAGCCTGTGCATATGGCAGCATATAGACTAGCCTTAACACAGATAACATGCACACACAAAGAAAATAAAAAATGAAATATCAAGCAAGAAAATGATTTCATAAATACATCACCAAAAGAATCGCTAAACTAAAGAAATTAGACTTCCCCATGCATGGAGAAAAACCACTTGCTTAGGTGGGGCAGTGATCTAGTGATCAACATCAACACAAGCAGCTAGGTAACAGGGGAACATCTAAACAGCACGTATAATCTGACATTTAATCAAACAAGTGAATTGGTTTTGACGAATGCATGAATAATCATCATCTACAATACAAGTTGCCATTTAGTCAAAAAAGTTAATTAGTTTTGTCCCGTGATACATGAATTAACCAACAATGATACAATCAAATGTAGATTTCTAAAAATTTCTAAAGCAATTTGATTGTTGGGCACCTGCCTAATGCCTAAACTATGTGTGGCACCTTAGCTACCCATTTACTACCTACATTTTCTGCCTACATGTGTGCAGAAAACTTCTCTTTCATATTTGATTGTAGTTCACATATCCCCAAGAATTTGAGAGAACCCACACGGAAAAAATTCTCACACAATTATTAAAAGATGATGCTAATGCTACATTGATTGGGAAAACCTCCTTTACTGAACATTTCAAGATGCAAATGATACATAGCAGTCCATTTTGCACAACTTCTGCAATTTACCATGAGGACATAAATGCTGCACTATTAATATATTTTTCAAAGACTTCGATTGTGATATTGAAAAACAAAAAAATAGAACTTCAGAGATATTACAATTATAGCCATCTTTTCCAATTATAACAATTATAGCCATATTTTTCTCCATTGCTTGTTTTCATTGAAAAATGGTATTACAATTAAGGATTTAAAGCTTAATCTGATACCACATCAGATAACTGGTCAGATAGGCAGGATTCTGGTACACTGAGTACCAACTCATACTGTCCAATACTATCAGAAAAATATATGATGCAATATCGATCCTTCATTAACATTGTTCCCATCTGCGACCCAACTATAGCCCCATCGCTGCCTCCATTTACATGGCAGGTGTGTGAGACAAGTAAGCATAGATGGATATGAAAAGTACCTTAAACTCATCATAACTTGGACAAAATGGGTCTACAATATTGTCTAAGCTAACCACAACACCAAGTAATAACAAGATTTTGACGAGAATAATTAGAGAGAACAATTTTACTAACTTAAAATACTAGTAAACTCATGTTAGTGCTTATTTTAACTCCAACAATCATACGATCAGGAAAGGTTATCATAGTTAAGACGAGACAAATCCACATATACTTTTCAGATTTGAGAAACACAATTCTTTGGACTAACGATACAAAAGCATTTGCTCCATGTACCTGGAATTGCAAAGCCAGTAGAAAAATTACCTGCAGATGGAATTGAGGATAAAATGGAAAGGTACACTTACCAACTTCTCATTCTTCAAATTTTGAGTTTGGGAAGGCATTCCACTTGGGAACACTGCAAAAAAAATCCATGAATCTTTGGAACACAGATATCAGTGGAAAAAATTTGAACTCACCATCAACTATCTCGTTTTGTTGCAAACTATTCAACAGACTCATAAGAAGATCCTGATAATTAAAATACCATGTTTAGGTACATCAGAATTATCAGAAACTCAAAACAGTTTGTTACATTCTACTGCAAATATGCATGAATTTGGCAGGTAAAGAAGGCAAAAGAGAAAACAGTATCACTATACTCGTTGAAAAGATGTTTGTTGGAAAAGATTCTGAAGGTGGGGCATGACAATGGAAGCAGGTACTGAACTGTTGCCAAATTCCTTTGGATTACTGTTGCTAATTTCCTTTGGATGTTGACCAGGTGGCTGCAAAGTTAGAATCGTGTGACTAAGATCTATAATGTCTAAAAAAAATTTAATAGATAGACAAATATTATAGGAAACCAACTGAGCAATATTATTTTCATAACAAAATGTTGTGATAATTGTATCAGGAATTATATGTTTGATCCGTGTATGATATGGAATTTTCATTTGAAAATGTTTATTCCCACACACTAGTGGACAATGGGTTATTTTAGAAACCTATGAAAAATGAATATAATGGAAAACAACACAGTTTGGTTTTCATTATTAAAAACAACACGAGAATAGGTAGGTTTAAGAAGATTTGCTATATACATATTTGTAACAAAAATATGGTGTCATTAGTGATTAGACAATAATTAGTTGTAATATTGATAGAAAAAAATAAAATTAGAGAAGACCATATAAGACAATATGAACATATCCAACAGAAACCTATAGATACCATGGGTAAACAAGATGAGTAGATTAGAGTTAGTGGTGTGAGAAGGCCAGAAATATTATGAGGGATCTATTTGTTCTTAGTTCAACCAAAGATATTGCTCTACAAAGATCTCAAAGATGCAAAAACATCAATGTAATTGACCAAAGCTAGTTAAAACATTATAACTTTTTGTTACAGTGGCACCAAGGGTTTAATCTCGGTTCGGTCTCAAAACCTATCAGACTGGTATAATACTAATATACCAAGCAGTATAAGGATCTATACTGCTGAATATCATTGAATAAAACAGAACAAATGGTGTTGAACCTGTTTTCAGTTATATGTTTCAAGACTAGTACTTGGTCGGATAAATAAACCGATTGATACTAAATCGTAAGATCAAGATTATTGTGCACATATATTATAACTCTCGTCTCTAGATGTTTTTCTATTATGAGAACTTAAGAACAATTTGCCTATCACTGGAACTACCTATCTTATTGTGTAGCTTCTCTAAATTTTCAACTTTTAAAACAGAAGACCAATATGAGATTGAACCAGTGATTTAAAAAGTGCTAGGCGCCAAAAGGCGCCAAGGTCCAAAAAAGCCCAAGATGCTAGGCGCTCGCCTAACTAAAGCGAGAGGCTAAAATATAAAAATATATAATATAATTAATAAATATAATTATTTAAATAAAAATATGATATTAAATTAAGAAAATCTTACAAAATCACAATATCACATTAACAAAAAGTCTCAAAATTCAAAATAATAACAATAATTTCAAATAAATAAAAGTTAACAGTATTAAAATCAAAATAATATATTATTAATCTAATAAATAAAAATATCGTTACCGGTATACATAGTTAGCAGTATACTATTAATATACATTTAATAGTATATTATCGAAGTGAGAAGAGTGTGAGTAAGAGGAAGATCGAGGCTGCTGATTGTGAGCAGCGGTAGCGGTAGTAGCGAGTAGCGGCAACGACGAGTGACAACAGTGGCAATGGCAGTGGTAGCAACGAGCAGCGACAGCGGCAACGATGATAATGGCAGCGATAATGGTAGCAACGAGCAATAGGAGCGGGAGCGGCGACAGTGGCAGTGACAAGCGGCGACAGTGGCAGCGACAGCGGCGAGCAGGGTTGGGGTTGGGAAGTCGCGAGAGGAAGGCTGATATCGGTGCTTTAGTTGGTTCAATTAAACCAACTAAAGCACCGGTTGAACCAATTAAAGCACCGGAGATCGAACCAAACCAAAAACGCTGGTTCGGTCGCTTGGTTTAACCCGGGCGCTCGCTCGAAGTGCTCGACACCTAGGCTCGGGCAACGCCTCTTTGAAGCATGCCGCTTGGAAATGAAGCGAGGCGCTCGAGCCTCGCCTCGCCTCACCCGAGCGCCTATTTCAATCACTGGATTGAACAGAGAACAAAAAAAATTTCTGTTTAAGGGAGATTTTTCTCCCATTAACAGTTTCAAGTTGGTTGTTGACGCCTCTATTTATTGTGTACAAACCTTTCAATTCTCAAGCCCATTGTCATCAGGATTTCTTATTCAGATGCAGGATCTAGATCCAGAAGAGGGCTACACTACCACTTTGGTGTAGATGTAGCACAAAAATAATTAAAAGAAGAAAAGAAGAGAGTTTCGAGGAACATGAAAAGAAAAAGAAATCACACAGAAAAATGATTAATCAGTTCAGGACTGTCATAATATAAACTCTACCATTGAAACCAAATTTAGATACAACGAACTGGCTTCTAACATGATCAGGTACCTAATATAATATACCTCCCTGTAAAAAATCTAGAATCAATCATTATCAAGTAGGAAAATTAATTTCAGCAAGTATGTACTAATTTTACAACTAGAAAGGGTGCCTTTTGTATGTAATATTTTAAAAACCTTAAAACTTTACTTTATTCAAATAAGAAGCATTAGTTAAGAAGCAAAATCTAAGAGGTTATGTAACATCTATTCCACCTAACAAAAGAAAAGGAAAAACTAATATCCAATCTCAATTATAAACAAAATGAGAATAAAAATAGAATAAAATAAAATAAAATGACCATGACATCAGATCTGGTTAAACTCACATCCAAAGAGCGATTCATGTCATAGGTACTAGCAAGAATTGCATGTGCTGGCCCATTCAATGCTATCTATGCCTTCATGTGGTCAAGTTTTAGGCCTGTGCTGGCAAGCATGAGAGGCATGCTGATTATCAAAAAAGGGGTTCCCCGTTGGATGTGCCCGCATTCCATGGAACAACATTCCTTGGGCACTATCAATAAGCTAAAATGATTTTATGATATAGCTTGAGACGATTGATAGAGTATCATGTCCATGTCCAACCCGAGATTTAGAGTGACATGGTATACTAGGTGTATCATGGTTCGTATTACTGGTCTATACCGGTGTACCGACTAGTTGTTGATACGATATGTATCGAGTTTGTACCAAACGTACAGACACATGATACACTGGGGTGTACCGATGTATCACCCATAACGATTCTCTATCAGACCGGTATATACCGCCTATACCGAGCAGTACACTTTGGTATGTCAAACCTTGGGTTGCAACCAAGTTATAATATGCCAATGTACAGTTGATATGACTAAATTTCAACATTAACTAATTTTTTTTGTAAAGCATACTGACCAATATTGGTACCATATATATGCAGCTAGTATGAAAGACCTCCAGTGTAAGGAACCTTTATGCCCATAAAAATGCATTAAGCCAGGTGCCTGCCTGTAGACTAGATAGGAACCACCTGGACGGCAAAGGACCTCTTTTTCTCATAGGCAATTACTTCATGGTTACAAGTAGTACCTACTATCTGGAGATAAATGACCATTTTAACTAGTTCCCAGTGTATGCTATAATTTATTCTGACTACCATAATGGACATTTACATAGAGAAAAATATGGTAACTAAAATTAAATATAAAACAATTCTGCATGCGTTTAAATAAAAAAAAATCTTAGTTGCTTTGCACTTTGCTTCATATGCACTTGACTAATGTGTTTGCTGACACTTCTACATCGTGTTATTGGAAGTTTATCAATCATTGAAACATAAATCAACATAGAAAGTTTATATAGAACTCAAACATTAACCTTTTTTGTATCAAACGTATTCAGCATTAAGATCTTTAATGTTGAACTATACGATGTTCTTCAATAAACATAGAGACAATAATGTTTGATTTCGTGATACTGTCGTCTGTTTATGGATTCCACACAGGCTTAAGGGTGTATTGACTAAAACCCTGTACTCACTTTGACAACCGTGATAAAAGAAATCTCAAAAATGCTGATAAAGAGTTTAAAAACAATGTTCAACAATTGTAAAATTTAATCTTAATATCAATATCGAGCAGTGAGATACACCAAGGACAACATTGTAACTGTTGATGGTTAAATATCTCTTGTACAACATTCTACATAGGAACAGCTATCCTTCTATTATATGTCGATTCATGCTCTCCTATCATATAAAATGTACCTAAGAATTTATGAGAATACTACTGCAGAGAATACACAGCATCGCCAAGCAATTGGCAACCAGTAGAGGACACATGCCATGAGAAAATAATAAGAAAAGGAATGGAAAAGCTTATAATAAGATGAATCAGCATACTGCTGGTTTTGGTTGAACTAAACAATCACCAACACTGGCAGATTTTCTCATGGAAGAAGATCCCTGGAAAAGAAAATTCAATGTCATGTAAAGGTGAAATGTGGGTATCTGCAATGATAAAGTCATTCATGGAATATGAATCTTGAATTGAAATGTACCTGGGATGACCTTCTTGAAATGTTAGATAGTGGTAAGTCCTAAAATTATATTATCTTTTAGTATAAGTATAACCAAACTAGTTAGAATGACTAATTCCGCAGGAGCTTACTTTTACAAGATCCACATTTTCCGACGTAACTGAAAACCGGCCTTTTATTTGAACCACATTAGGCTTAATCTTGTCCTCCAATAAGTCTCCACAACCTGTAAAAGTGAAAACAAAGAAAAGAGTAATGTTCTAATTTGAAAAGATCATTATATGCAGCATGGCTAAAATGACATCACTAGGGATCAGCTTTTGAATATATTGCCACCAGTCCAATTAAGAGCACATAACAAACCCAGATCATATGTGAGACACGTAGAATCGAATATTAAACAATAAATATTATATACCTGCTGAAGACCGCATGGGAGCAGATAAGCTGTTAGCTGAGGCACGGTTTGGGAGCATCAGTGGGCCACTAAAGTTTGTGATTTTGCGTGCATCACGTTTATATTTCTCAGTTCCTTGCTGATTGTCACTTTCAGTCCTAGCAAAACAGAAGCAGAACTGATACATAAAAAATTATGTGCAAAGATTTAGAATTAGTGAACTCAGATCTTTGTGCCAATAGTAATGTCACATGACATCGACATGACAACCATAACCATGAGTACGCTGCATTTAGGAAGACTGTTATCTATATCTTAAGAAAGATGTCAACACATGCTATCTCCCTGTGTTTTGTGATGATAATATATCATAATTGCGGCACAATTTTTTTGTAAACTTAACTGAGATGAAAACTAAGAGTGCCGAATTTGAAACAAACCGCTGCGTTATGAAAAACTAATAATCCTAATATTATAATCACTGTATCTGTTCCAGAATGAGAATGATGCACTACATGAGAGATGAGCTCTTCTTTTTCACAATATAACAAGGTCATTCTAGCAACATAGATAATATAAACACTCAACTAGAAGGGAAGAAAATGCAAAACAGCAGGACGTACAATGTGGAAGGTGCATCTAATTCATCTGTGACCATGCAGTATTCTTTAAATGAAAATACATATTTCATTAGTAACATAGAATATTTTCAAAAAGCTTGCATAGTGGAGCGACAATGTTGAAAAAATAATTATTACAGAACTAGACGATTAAAGATTAAGCTGAGGCAAAAGGAATAAAATCTTTTTTCAAAGCACTCCAGAATAAGGAAAGGATGATCTGTCTTCTAAGCACAACTATAAAGGGTAAAACAATTTGAGATTAGAGGTGGCCAAAGCAGGATATGTCTAAACACAGGGATTTATGAGAAGCAGGAAAGGGCAGAATGGTCCAAGAATTATTGGAGAACATAACTCCTAATATAGCTAGATGGAGAAAAGATTCATTATACTAAAGATTCTTGACACGATAATTTTAGTTATGAGTACATGCTGATTGGAAAGGGCCTTCGACACATCCAATGTTTCCTTAGAAGGCATTTTGTCAGTCTATACCCAGGTCTTCAATTTCGAATAATACTGCCTAGTATGAACAGTACGTACCGGTCCATCAGCAGACTGGTACACGGACCGCCCGTTATCGACAGTATATATATATATATATATATATATATATATATATATATAAAAGACGATGCAACGTCGCCTTTTATAAAAATATTTATATATAAATATATATATATAATCATTATATATATATTTATATATTTATATATATATATATACCGACCGGTATAATACAGTATCGTACCGTACCGAACGAATGTCGAAACTCTGGTACGGTACGATATTTCAATCCTTGGTCTATACCATAACAGCACCTATACTATGTCAATCCATGCATTATTTATTACTAAAAAGACCATCAAGTTCAGTCATATGATTATAAGCAATTCAAGTTCCCATGGTGAAAATTTAATTGAACAATATTTTTGTAGAATATACATCAAGCAGGCTCTTTGAACCAATAACACTAGAATTTCTGCATTAACAGGAAAAATATATTTGCTAGCGGAAATAGAGAATGACACAAAGTAAAAAAATCTCATCATTAATTTTAATGCACATTTTCATAAGTATGATGCTTCAACCTAACTAATTCCCAACATCTAATTGTACGACAGCCACATGCTCGTGCATCACGATGCAACATATTAGAATACTGTTATACTGTTTAGTCCAATGGTTACTCACACTGACCTGGTATGGTCTACCTATGTCCTTGGTTTCCAATTATAAAAAAAAACAATTATTATGAGTTGTGACAACAGCAAGAATATAACTCTTTTATTTAACAGCAGTAAACAAAAATGCAAGATGTTCTAGCAAAACATCTAGTCATATAGCATAATCTACAAGATCATTTCAAAAGAACTATGTCGATCATGGATTATACTGCTATGTGTGATGAAAATTTAGCAATATTAATAGCTATACCTTTCTGAGGTGAGCCCTCTTTCTGACAATGAGATGGCAGACACACCAGAAGGTAAAAGTGGACCACTATAAGTTTGTTGTTTCTTTCCAACTTCAACTTTCCCTTGGTTGCACACTGAATCATGCTTTGATGTTTGTGGTGCTAAATTGTTTTCTAATCTGTGATTGTCATGTCCATCAAACCTTTCTTGATTACTGGTATCCACTAACTCTGTTTGCAATACTTCATCTCTTGATGAACACTTTGCCTCTGAGAATTCTGTTCCATGAGTACAATCTCTATAAAAGAAAAAAAAAATGTAAAGAGCCACTAAATGCCAGGGGATAAACTATTTGCAAAACATTACTCTTTCCAAAAACTATAAGATTTATGATCACTTCCATCCAATTTCTTTCCAACTGTTCTAAGCTATCTGACATCAGCAACTAACAACCAACACTATGGTAGACAATTTCGAGATTGACAAGCAAGAAAAGAGAGTGAAACAGGAAATAAATATGGATATATATTTGTAACTCAGATTTTCAACTCGTTAAAAAATTAAATAAATGCATTATGAGGTGAACTTCAAATATTTAAATTGCATTAGATTGAAGAATCTAATGAAACTAGTTTCAACATGTTGGTCAACCTTGAGGTTGACCAAAGTGAACTTATCATCCTCAACACATTTTGCGATAACTTGGCATCTGATATGCAGCACCTCTGACTCACTCTCCCAAATCTTTTTCCCTGAGAAGGCAAGATAAAGAAATAAATAGGAAGATTCACCTATGCTAGCTAGGTTGAGGCGAGCAATGGACTGCATGAAGGGGTTCAACCACAGGACCCAGCAGAACAATGGGGGCCCTGACACTGAGTTGCTGACCAATCATCCATGTGAGAGAAGATGGTAGTTGCCTCACAAGAAGCTTCTAGCCTTTGGGTAATGAGAATTCGGCCACTCTGTGAGTGCCTTTATGCTGGTTTGTGCAAATATTCCTAGTGTGTCTAAAATAACAAATAACGAGATTTCAGTTTGACACTGTGATTTAAAAAGGCGCTCCGGCGCTCGCCTAGGCGCTCGGGCGAGGCGAGGCGAGGCCCGAGCGCCTCACTTCATTTCCAGGCGACGCGCTTCAAAGAGGCGCCGGCGCCTAGGCGCGATCTAGGTGACCAAACCAGCAGTTTAGGTGTGGTTCGATCTCTGATGCTTTAGTTGGTTCAATCGAACCAACTAAAGCACCGATATCAGCGCGACTTCCCCAACCCTAACCCTACTCGCCGTTCACGCTGCTCGCTGCCGTTGTCGTCGCTCGCTACTGCCGCTGCCACTGTTGCCGCTCACCGCTCTCGCTGCCGCTGCTCGCTTTTACCGTTGCCGCTGCCACTGTCGTCGCTTGTCGCTCCCACTCCCGCTGCTCGCTACTGTCGCAGCCTCTGTCGCCGCTCCCGCTGCTCGCTGCTACCGCTGCCACTGCCACTGTTGTCACTCGTCGTTGCTGCTACCGCTGCCACTCCCACTTTTCTCAGCACCCTCGGTCTTCCCTTACACTCTTCTCTTCTCTTTCGCTTCTCCTCTTTCGAAATCGAAAGTATACTGTTAACAGTATACAGCATAACACTATTATTTTGATTTTAATACTATTAATTTTAATATTATTAATTTTTAGCGCCTCACTTCGCTCGGGCGAGCGCCTAGCGCCTCGGGCGTTTTTGGACCGTGGCGCCTTTTGGCGCCTAACGCTTTTTAAATCACTAGTTTGATATAAAAATATAAATGACTTCTTAACTAGTGAATAAAAAAGGGTGAAAACCACTTAATGATTTTGCATGAATAACTAGAGTAACGCCTTAAAGCATAGTTTCATATTTTGCATACTGCTTTTGAATTAGTCAATTTATATTCCACAAAGATAATGATTTTTTTTTCTCTTTTCAATATTCTGTATTCTATAAGCCCAATCTTGATAAAAATATGAGTTGGAGAGGACTTAATGATCAATGTCTTTGACATGTGGACCTACATGTAAGATAAAGGGGTGGGTAGACCCAGGACATGAATTCATAACCTACTATGATAACATCACAGTAGGTCCACTTCTCCTAGGAGTTTGAGAAAGCAAAAAATGGCCCAACATATAGATACATTTAGAACCCTCTCCCTCTCTCTCTCACACACACACATACGTGCATACATGATTTGTCCATTGGGTCGCCCTCCATTGGCCCATCTAGTACCCAAGATTAAACCACAAGGTTTTAAATCTGGATCCAATACCAGTTTGGATAATCTACAAAACCAGTATCGTAAAGATGGACCAGGCAATATATTGACTCATATCATTCAGTACAGCTGAAAAAAATATTGAAAATTTTAATTGAGTGGTACCGGACCATATTGTTCGATACCGGTTCTTACTAGGACAGTAAAAACTGGTAATTGAAACCATAGTTTAGAGAGCTATTTACTAATATAGTTTCTCTTCTTATCAAAGAAACTTACTGTAACAGAGTAGGAGAATAATCCTTCAGGACAACTCTTTGTTGATCAAATATCATTTTTTTACTTTAAGGGCATGGAATATCAAATTAATAAATTGAAACAACAAAAAGTAATTTTACTTGATAAGTATATACGTTTGTAGTTAAAAAGACAGAACTGCTCCTATGGAATGTACAGTACCAGCATAAGCATGGTACCAGTATGGTTCACCACTGTCATGTGAAGCTGTGTGACACACCAGCCAACCTTAGTTGACAGGAGTGTGGATGGCATGACATATTGCATGCTTCTGTAGCATTATGCAAAATATTTGCAATGGATGTACAAAAATGATAAAGATTACAATGAAAGAAAGAACGTCCAGTAAGTTCATTATAATGCAACTCACCTAGGAATGGTTTTGTTGTTAAACATTGACTTTTCAGAATTCGATCTCGATGTGGATGGATCCTGAATATACAAAGATTCTTCCAAGTTATTTTTCCATAGGAACAAATGAAAATGCATGTAATTCACACATTTCGATTAGAAGACAAAAATTATAAGATGCTACTATAACTAGGCAATGGGAGGTAGGGCAACCTTGCTGACAACAAAAGCTCTCATAGTTTCTTCATCTTCCTTCATTTCAGAAATGTCATCATCATCTTGAATCTGTGATTTTAAGACGAAATACAGGGCAAAAAGAGAGTATAAGATAAAATTTTGATGATCTATCAGCAAAAATAAAAAGAAGAGATTTCCTTATCACAAACAAGAAAAAAAAAGGAACTAAAAGTACCAATGATGCTTGAGCCTTTAAGTCCTCGATGTCAAAGTTCCATGCACTAACACCTCTTTGATACTCACTCTGTAGGAAGAGCCATAGGATAAAGCAAAAATGTGTCAAACTTCAATAAATGCCTAAATCAGCACATATATGCCTTTTTTTTATTAAAAAATCATCATTATGCCATTTCAAAAGGTAACTTCTGCACGCATCCATCTTTGGGTGTCCCATGATACATCCTATAAGAAGTGGTTTACTTCAGAAGACGTAGTACTTCAATTGCCCAAGTTGCTACAGATTATTCAGAAATAAGTAATATGGACTTCAGGCAAAACAAAGGTTTTTTTTATTTATTTTGCGTGGTTCAGTATGGTTCAATGGGTATTTACCAGTCTAACCACCAGGACATTGCCCACTTATATTCGGGTGGTCCAATCCAGTTTGCTGCATATACAATACTTTTTTTTTCTTTTAACCCTGATGCTAGGGCTCACACGTGATTCCTCGTGAGTTTGCTCTCCATACCATCGCCACCTATAAGTCTGCTGCTGCTGCAGCCTGTGTGCCCACCACTAACTTCAGTACATCTCCTCTCCCTTCTCGCTTTTCCAGGTACCTTCGTATGATTCGGTGTATATACATTGGAATGGACCGGACCATGGCAAATCAAACATTATTTTGTATTCTTTATTATAAAAAGACAACATGATGTGATGACCATTTATTTTATTTTGTTTTCAGCTGTTGATCACTCCTAATTTGAAGTTTTGGATTAAATGAGATATTATGTAGACTGTTGATTTTGGTGAATCTAGGTGAGACTTCTCTTATAAATTTTCTAACAATGGATTGCTTTATAGGTCAACAATTAAGGTGTTTGATATAGTACAACTATGTATGATTCGCCTTACCGGTCTGTACCGATGTATCGACCAGTTGTCAACACGATACGTACCGAGTCGTATTGAGCATAACGACACACGGTACATGAGAGCGCACCAATGTACTGCCTATACTGGTCCTCTATCGGATTGGTATGTACCGCCCGTACCTAGCAGTACACTGCGGTATGGTGAACCTTGCAACTAGGTGCTAAAACCGATTACATACAAATGTAATTGACCAATTTGTTTTATTCTTGAAAAGTTTAAGTGCAGTCTCAAAGCAACAAAAGGTTGTTGGACTACTTTTCATGTATTTCGACTGATATAATACTACTTATATGTAGACCAAATTTTAGGTGCAATATTTTCTATATAAAGGAATTTTCTTCTGATTTTCATCACCGTCATTCAGGCAATATTTCAAAAGTGAAAATAACTATATATTTCAAAGATATAATGGCAGGATTTCTTTATGGTATTTAGAACCTTGATAAAGGACTAAATATGTAAAGCCTATCTTTCCTCATCTAATGAATTTGAAAGGATATCAAACATCTTAAAGATACCAGAGATAGCTCTAAGAATCTTAAATTTGGTCAATGTTTTAATATAAAGTCCTGATGGAATCAAACAAGACCCCAGTATAGTCCTTAAAAAAAGAAATTAGAGGCAGGTTAAAAATTATATAATATCAATGAAAAGAATGATTCCAAATTTCCAATAATACCTGGACCATGGTGGAAAGACCCAAATGGTTTAATATATTTGGCTATAGTGAACTATATTGCCCCTAAATAGCATGGTTAAGTCTATAAGTATTAGTTCATACAGGCTAGAGGGATTAGCTCAACCAAACCTAATAGGACTAAGCCAACTCATGTGAACTATTAATGGCTTGATTAAATCAAGCTTAAATAAATTAGTCTTTATATGTATAATAAAAGGTCCGATCAAATTTATGAGGCCTCTATCTCCCTGATTTCTAGTTATATTTGAACATTTCAAAAATCGAATTCATGTGATTTCTTGGGAGGAATCCAATGGTATAGGTTATTATTGGTAAATGTATGGAGTAAGATAAAGTTAATGATTTTTTAAAAAAATTCAAATGTTATGTATAAATTTTGCATGATTCAATCTAAACTTAAAAATGAAATCTCACTTTCATATCTTAGTCGATATCACTCAGATAAATAGCCGATTTTGGATCCCTCAATGAGATGCACAGAATGACATCAAGGTTGGATGATTCTTATCCCATCATCTCTAACTCTCCATCTGCATACTTGTGCATGTTTATATATGCAGGAAAACATACTAATATGTATAGATATAATACTTTTGCATACTTATCATCTTGAAAAAAAAACAAGAATTGTGCATATTAGAGATACCATTAAGATAAAAAGGCCTATTATCCAATTACTATATTCTTAATGAGTTCTAATAATTATGGAAATAATTCGATACTGCAACTCAAAAATAGAAGAGAAATGTAATTCAACAAAGAACTTGGTAGGAAGAAGTCAAATTTTCAACTTCAACAGCAGCAAACTTGTACTGTCAAAAGTACCACCAACCTGTGATATTGCTTCTTGTTCAGATGATGGCATTTTCTTGAGAGCTAGTTGTGCAGCATCCTTAAGCTGGAAAATTTTCATGTTTTGACAGCCTCACGTCATCAAGAAGGGGCAAAAGGAGTAACAAAATTAAAAAAAGATAACATTGAGGGCTAACCTGGAGTGTTTTCACACGATCCCAAAGTGGTGGAAGATCAGATAAAATGCTTTTCAGTGATATCTCAGGAGGCTTTGCATGCTTGAAAAATGAATGTTTCAACAATTTTTCCGCCGTCGGTCTCTTTGTTTGATCTTTAACCAAGCACATTGCAATCATTTCTTTAAAAGACTGAGTACAACTGAATATCGTTGTTAGAAGGCTTACCAATATAAGTTGCAATAATATTTTGGATCAAAATTCATGAAATCTACATATTGTCAAGCATCCATAAGCAAAAGGGACCATTATACCTTCGAAAACTTTTTATCACGATCATAATCAAGTCCAGGAGGTGCATTTTGGAGAGTCATCAAGAGAACCTACAGTAAATTGGTAAATATTATCAAACTGAGTCTTGCTTGAACAAATTTAAAATGGGGATGCTTAAAAGTTCAAATAGTTGCACATATAATTAACATCAAACATGGATATGTTGTGCTTTTAGTTATCAAAGATGTCTACCATGTTCAGCCTGGATCTTGCCCGTTATCAAGCTGGAACCAGACTGACCGTGAACCAGTTAAGTGGGATCCAGTGCTGAATTTTTCAACCACTGTAAAATTTTGGCCCGGATAGGTTTTCATTCTAAGTTTGTCCAACTTTTATTTGGTTCTTTTTCCAGCAGAACACTGTGATAAAATTAACTGTGCCAACATACCATCTGGTAAATAGAAAGAATCAGCACTAAATCTCTGAGCCAGGGATTAAAGATCCCATATAGCAAGCATGATATGTAGATGGAAGACACAAGAAAACCTCATAAAAAGAAAAAGGTATACAAGACTCATTTATGTCATCAAAAATAAAATAACTGATATTTATATAGACTTATCATAGTTACAAACTACTGAACAGACATAGAGGCACTTGTAAAAATCATTCAGACCGCTCAAGGATGAAAGTTTTATGTTTATGTACCATATATAGAGAGGTCATGCAAAATCCATAAAAATAAATTAACTGAACTTATTAGAAAACCATACTGCCAGTATTCCATGGCTCTATGCTACTTCTCATAACACAATAAAATATAACAAAATAAGCATATAGCCAGACTTCACCAGAAACAAATCAGACCTTCATTGGAGGATATTTTGAAAATGGAGCATGACCATGTGCCAATTCCAGTGCAGTTATTCCAAACGACCAGATGTCAGCTCTGCAGGCAGAAAAATGTATCAGTGATCAAGATCTGAAAAGCACAAAAATGACAATTTTATTAGCTATATCTAATTTATTTTTCATGCAACCCATTAGTGTAAGCAAGACCAACACCATCATCAAAAATTCATACAGCTACAAGCTAACTTAGTTATAGCTTGGTATGTTATATGAACATAGACCTCAGAATGGATTTCGACACACATCCAAATATCCAAAACTGCGACAAGAGGTAATTATACAAAAGGATAACGACCAACAAAATCTTGATAATTTCGTTGTACACGGAGGAGGATTCTGAAAAATATTGAACACTATAACATACTAGAAAAAATGATTGCATTTTAATTTTTGATTATTTGATCAAACCAACTGTTTTGTTTATAAAAGGTCAAAACCCTATGAATCGGTTCAAATCATTTGGAACGGTTAGACACCAAAATTTGTGAATAAATATGGTATTTATACATGCATATAGATCATACAAGCATGTATCGTCATTATATACTGCACATGGTTGCAAGCACGTATAGTCATTATATATTACATATGGGAACTTTTGCCCTTTGTAATTGTTAATATAGCACATCCCCCCTAATGAAACTATGAAAGATAAAGCACTTCGTCAATTTCTCTTAGTTCAGGAACTATCTTAAACAAACAATCAAATAGTGATTTTTTGTTCTTAATCTTCAACGTCTACAAACTGTGTTATATTGCATAATTACTAAAAGACTTAAAAGTTCACACCCATTCCAGCCACTGATTCAAGGACCCTAGTATAACAAGCATTTGAGATCCACAATTAATGAAGCCATGTTATTTCTTACGAAACAGGTATAATTATGGAAGAATTTTTTTCTAAATAAAATTACCTATTTTACCCATTTGATTCATGGACAATTGAAACAAAGTATGTCTGCTCAGTTGCAATATCTCTAACTTTACCAGTGCTAGGGTCAGCAGAAAGTAATTGGCAGCTTAGGCTAAGCAATCAACAAGGAGATGTGTGACATATAGCCATTTGAAATAAGAATCCTTGAACTGCAGCAGCAATTATTCGAAAATTCATCTCTTGGATTTGGGCAAAAAATGTGTTGGATTCTCCTATTCACATTTCTGGCTCCCCTTAGTTTTCTTAACTTCGGAAATTGAGGCATTCAATGTGTGTCCAATGCATCCGACACATACTCCATCTTGAGGGTACATTTACATGGAACTATTACAAGACTTATTAGTGCAGGAGACACTTTAGAACACAAAACTAACTAGTACTTGGATTTCTGAGAAGAAAGATTATAATTGACAAGGTTTGATGTACCGAAGTGTACCGCTCGGTATGGATAGTACATATTGGTCCAATAGATGATCGGTCTGGGTGATACATCGGTACACTGTGTCGGTACACTCAGGACAGCTCGGTATGTACCATACCGACAACTGGTCAGTACATCGAAACGAACCGATAATGCGCACCATAATAATTGATAACCAGACTATCAATTAATTGTAGTTTAAAAGCCACAATCTTACATATATCACAACTTCACAAGTATCATATATGCGTTTCTAGCAAAAAGCAAGTCCTTCTTAAAGTAAAATGAATAAGATAATTAAGGATGGATGACAAATGACATCGGATGAAGTGTACACGTCGTCCTTCTAGAAAATTATGATGTATAAAATGGCTGCATAGCAGAAGGTCAACTATTGGAAAATGGTCCATGAACATGGTTTGCTTCCTCTTGCACATGAATAGTATGATGAAACCTAAGGGTGCACATGAAAGAAAACAGCCTAAGACAAAACCCAAGGCAACAAATGGGAAGATATTAAATGGAAATGCTTACATGATAGAGAGTTGAACCCAAAAACTCAATGTACCATGCTAATAAAGAAGACAGATATATCAAGAAATGGCCCAGGAACATGGGTAACAGCTAACTAGCTGCCGTTTTGTCTTTGGAAACCAATCCACTCTACTGAATGATAATTACATGAAACTACTTAATTTTCATCCAGTATAGAGAGTAAATATAGATCCAACCTAGTTAAGTATTATATGGGCTTTACAGTCATCTATAGAGGGAAATACTCCAAATCAAACAGAAAAATTGAAGCTTTCAAAAGAAAGGGAAGAGTAAAATTGACAAACAGAAGTTATCACAGAAATGTACAGTAGTGAAGTTTGCTTTCATTACAAGAAAAACTTGTGTTCTTTTTTTCTGGATTACCATGGTAACCCATGATGAAGAACTTGATAAAAATCCATCTCCTCGATCTAAGATAGATTAGATGAGTTTCCACAGAAAAAATTGCACGAAGGACAGCCAAGTGAGGCTTCAACAAACCAGGGCTTGGGGTGGGTCAATGTGCATAAGCTATTTCCCTAGATGCTTTCTTGACACTCACACCTCAAAGGAGCAACTAATTGTGGCACGAAAGGAAGCCCTCAAGAAAATGCACTAAGAAGTAACAAATGTAATTTAGCTATTCATATTCATTCAAGAAATCCTGGAGCCATGCTTCCTGGAAGTAAAAGTTTCTGTTTCAATAAATCATGGTAAAAAATATAAGATAACCATAAAAGTGTTTTTTTGACAACAATTACAGGTTGAATGAGGGGAAAAATCTTGAAGTTTAGAGCGTTCAGAAGAAAAAGGAACATCATAATGATTTTGTTTCGGAATGAATATTAACAAAAAACGGAAGTGGTTGCTTGGTTATATCATGCCATCAACGCATTAATAAAGCATTAGACTGTCAAATTGTTATAAAGAAGCATTATGTTCACACTAAGAAAATTATTGTAGCTACAATTCACAAAACAACATTGGATAATCTCTAAATATTTTAACTTAAGAAGTAAAATGAAATAACCAATGAGGTATGCTTTTCACTAACCATACCTAGTAGACTGCTAGTCTCACTAGCTTTCTGATTACTTTACTCTATAAACATGTCTCTAGGTCTGCAGTGCTGATGTTTGTAAATATAAATAAATATGTTCTCCTCAATATGCTTCCTTATGTTGCCACTTGATTTGAAGTAATCTAACAAGAATCATTAAACTGCCTAGAAAGCTAATGAGTGCGTACAGCTTATTCAACATGCTTGTGCATCAAAAATGAAGGAATATCTGACAATCTATAGATATGTTTCTTGTCTCAAAACTTGATGCAATATATTAATAACTTTAAGTTGAAGATAGTACTTACTTAAAATCATAACCACTTCCTGGTTGTAACACCTCAGGAGCCATCCTACACAGAAAAAACTAATTAACAGCTTGTCTAGTTTCTATATTAATAACATAGAAACAATTTACCAAAATTTAATCCAAGGAAACGGGTACTTAAATTGTAAATGATACAAAAAAAAAAGGTATCTCACCAGCATGGTGTCCCTACAAAAGTATTTCTTGCACGTTGCCTGTCACCTTTGTCAAACATGCATGCTGAAACACCAAAGTCTCCAAGCTTCACCACACCAGATTTATCAAGGAGGATATTCCCAGCCTGGAGCGAGAAACTTTTTTGAGCAATGAAAATTGGTGGTGTAAAATTGACTAATAAAGAAGAAATCCAACATAAAAACTAACCTTGATGTCACGATGTATATGCCCATGTCTATGAAGGTACTCTAAAGCTTTTAATGTTTCTTTAAGAATTGAACATATAACATGTTCTTCAAATCCATCTGGATATGAAAATTTCATCAGGTGCAAGCACGAGCCTTCAGCCATAAATGGCATGACCACCCAAAGGAATCGTTCAACAACGAATGAACAATAAGCGCTTATTACATTCGGGTGGTCTATCAAGCTCATTGTTTGGGCTTCCCGCCATATGTCATCCTATATAGAGCAACTTGGTCATCACAACTTAATGAAGAAAACACCGTATAAATGACATAAAGAACAAGCCCAAATCATTAGAGAAAATGTGCCTCCCTGATGTCAGTGACCATGTAGCTAACAAAAAGAAATGATAAATAGCTAATCTAGAATTTGCACCTTTGCAGGTCACACAAAAATATGTATGTTTTGATGATGATGATAAACAGATAATGAATATCGATTCATGTATTATAAATGCCATCTAAATTGATATGCACAACACAACTATCTGTTAGAGAGCCGATGTCCACTAGCTTGGATGATCAAAGCACTCGGGTCCCTTTTCAAGGGGTCATTGGTTCATCGCGTCTATTTGCCCCTGCCCTCGGTGGCAGACAACTACCCACAAGCAGGGAAGTGGCACTTTGCTGGTGATGACATAATTGATTAGTACAAGTTCTAGAATTATATGTACAACAAATAAACCTTTAAAATGAAACTAAGGGAGCGTTTCATATTATAAAAAAGAAGTTGATACTGATACTGATAGAAATGGAGATTGAGTTCTTTAGCTGCAACCAAAGCACTATCATACGTGAGACAAAACATGAAGGCAAAGTATTTACAAATTACAACAAGCAAGAGCCTTGCAGCTTTGCTGGAAGACCAATCACACTGGGAAAAGAATTAAAGGTCAAAGATGCAGATTACCAGGAGTGACTAAAAGGTTCAGAGCCATTCAGCAATCCTAAATCATGAACAAAAGAACAAACAGGTTCAATCAATTCAAGAACACAAGATAACTAAATACAACCACTGTCATCCAAATAAGGCATAAATATCCTTTCTGTCAGTCTACGAAGTGATGTTGGAACTTTTTATACAAGTTGATCCCTGCTATTGTGATTGAGGAAAACTGTTAAAAGTCCCATAGAGATCTCAGATTCCATAAAACCCACTTCCCAACTCCATATCCAGTCTGCTTTTCACAAACTCATACTGACAACAACATCAAGAACTAGCACCAGAGAAGAAGAGCAAACAACAAGATTCAATTCAAACACAGGAGGGGCACACCTTCCTAGTAACTGAAAACCAATCAACCAGAGAAAAAAAAAAAAGGATCAAGATCCAGAGGGCTAGGGATGAATAAAAACGTCTATAGCAAATAATCAATATTAAATCTTGAACAGAGAAAATACAGGTTAATCAATTCGCCAGTAGAAACTAACTAGATTAATCAATTCGCCTTTCCAAATAGGCCGAAAAAATCCTTTCCAAGAGTCTACGAAGTGAAATCACAAATCTTAGAACAAGCCGATCCCAATCGCTTGCAAAAACAAATATTGATGATGAAACCCATTACGAAGTCCCAAAAAGATCTCAAATTCCACGAAACCCACTTCCCAACTCAGGAGCCGATCCGCTTTTCACAACACCACACCATCTAAAACCCACCCTCAATACGGAGAACTAGCGCCTGAGAAAAGCAAGAGACAAGATTCAAAACGGAGACGGGGGTCGTACCATCCTAGTTACTGGAAACCCAACACGCCAGAAATAATAAAGGTCAAGAACGCAGATTGTTTGAATGACGAAAACTTTAAGAGCCATTCACCAATACTAAATCTTGAACAAAACAACAGACAGGTTCAATCAATTCAAAACACGAGCTAACTAGCTTCAATCGCCTTCATCCAAACAGACCGTGTAAATCCTTTCCAACAGACCATGGAGTGAAGTCGATCCCAATCGCTTGCGATCTCGATGAGAAAAAACCCGTTACTGAGTCCCAAAAAGATCCACTTCCCAACTCCCGATCGAATCGTCTTTGGCAGTCCCACGATATCCAAACCCCACCGAGAACATCAAGAACCAGTACCAGAGAGCAGGAAGCAAAAAGATTCAATTCAGAGGCAAGATGAGCGGGCTCACGAGGTTACTGTTGCAGCGATCAAGATCCAGCCGCTTGACGGCGACGATCTCGTTGGCCGGGACGTAGATCGCCCGGTACACCGTGGCGCTGGCCCCGTGCCCGACCTCCTCCAGGAGCTTGTAGTCCGTCGGCGACGCCGAGTAGCTGCGCCTCACGCTCCCGTTCCTCCCCATTCCCCCTCTCCTCTCCCCCGATCGTCAGTCGCTCTCTCCCTCCCCGTTGACTACCGCCCCAATAAAAAGAGGAAACGGGGCCGCAAGGAAGGGGGAAGGCGGGGCGTGCGGACGAGCGGTCGGATCGAGCGAGCGAGAGAAAGGGGAGCGGTGGGAAATACCCAGAGCTGAGGTGGCGGTGGACGGTGTGTCGTCCGTACGAGCCGCTGAACGGCGCTCCGAAGCCAAGCAACCGAAAAGAGGGCTTGCGAAGCTGGGAGAGGAGAGAGAGAGAGAGGGGGACGTAACGGGTTTCCTCAACGCTTTTTCCTGCAATTTAGCGGAATAAATATCGGAAACAGAAAACATCAAATGTTTTCTTTCGGCCACTCAGCGCCACCACCCGTCTTTCGTACCTTCTCGATGATTCAAGAATCCTCTGGTCGAAGGGGCCGCCTTTGGGGAGTTAACGTGCATCGGCCGAGGAAGCGACGAAGGGACCAGCGGGGGCGTACGGTCCACGACGGGTGGCACGACATCGACCGCGCTGGACGCGAACAAGCGGTGGCATCGGGTCGCCGTCGCATCGATCGTTACCCGTGTCGTGGGTTAGGCCTTCGGCGTGTTTGTTCGTGTGGGAAATGGACCCGGGCCGCCACTTGCCTTGCATTATTGCCGGACCCCTCCCGTTCCACAAGTCGTGTCTCCTAGTAGCAACGAGACACGACGACGTACGTACGAGTGCAGTCCACGAGCGTATGTTTCGGGGACGAATAATGTGGGTGAGCATGATTGGTCGTGTCTGCGTCGTGAGTACTTGGGAGGACGGGGTTGTGCACGGAAAGATCTACGATTAGCAAACCAAAACGACGGTGGATCGTTGTTCCGATTGTTGTTGGTATGATGGTGCACTCAAGCTAATACTAGTCTTTTTATTATCTGATGATGATGATTTAAATCACGATATATTTTGATTTAAGATAGTGTGCAAATCTTACGTATCGGAATATCCTTTTCATGTATAATATTTATGAGATTTATTCCATTTGTTTGTTTGTTTGTTTGTTTGTTTGACCTCAAATAGAAAATAATATTTTTAGGATATTTTTCTTTAAAAAATCTCAAGTTTTCTCTCTTTTTTTTTTTTTACTATGCCTCTTTTTACTTTATTCCTATAAATTATCTTCTATTTTTTAAAAAAAAATAATATTATTTTTAATTATCATGATGACCATAGCCTTCAAGGCGATGATCGATGAGACGATGATCATTTGTTATATCGTCATTTAAAAATAATTAATATTTATTTTAAAAAATAAATTATATATATTATAATACCTACGAGCTCTTTATCGATAGAAAAGAAGTTTAACTAACAACATCATTAAATTTTAGATTGTCCCGAAAGAATTGGAATATAACGAAGATCTAATTTGGTACACATCATAAGTATGTGTTGGGAAAAGATATAGTTGATTGAAGATGCTGCAAAAACTATTAAAAGATTTAAATGATTCAAAAAAGTAGTCAAAGATTATTAGTTTTCATAAAGTATCGATCTTCTATAAAATGTTAGAAATGGTTATGCGACTATTATTGGGTCTTAGAATCACACGTGTCGATCGAATAGATGTGATGTATTATCCAATTACCAACATGTCGAAGGCATAATTTCAGGGAAATAGACTTGTTGCTTTTTCTAAAGCTATCACGCCCACTAGAAATTGACAAGAAAGTAAACAAGCTACCAACCAAGTAATCAATATCAGGTAAAACGACAGATATTTGTCCTTTAAATTAATGTATAAGTGGTTGATGTATCGACTATATCACATACCAAAACTCGAGAGTGTGGAGGGTAACATCACGAGTGTGACGCATCTTATGATGACTCCTGGATTGGTGACGCATCTTATTATCGAAAAGAAAGTGAAGAAAAGATGAAAGAGTGCTTTCAATCATGACGAGGTAGGAGGAACAAATGGCGCACTAAAGATGATCCAAAGTATTATCGGACAGAGTTGCAAGACTTCAATTAATCTCATGTCTCATCGTGAAAATAAGAGATATTGAGCTGGTGAGTCAGCACGGCTCGATCCACGAGTCGATGTCGGGAGTCTTCTGTCGGTTGAGTTGGACGTCAAGGTAGGTCGGGCCCTCGCAACGAGGTATTGATCAGCATTTCTCGATCCGAGCGCCATCTGCGTCGAGTAGCGTATCTCCGTTCTCGAGCTGGTTGGCAGCTCGTCTTCATTCACTGGATGGCGATTCCCAAGTTGAGGCGCTCGTGGCTTGGGGGTGGCCGCTTGCCTATAAAAATAATCTTTATCGGATGGTTTCCGACTTTGGCCCCTCCGACGAGCAAGTCAGTTGTGGGTTCAATTGTTTTTGCCCTCCCTTGGCTGGATGCCGGCATGGGCTTTATACTATTATATGAGGGTCGGTTGCACGCAGATTCGGCATGACCCCTCTGTAAGCATAACACCCTGATCTTCGAGAGTTGAGATGACACTTCTGACCAATCGCCATCTCGGGACGCGCGGAGCAACGTCAGACGAAGCCACCTCGGATTCCCGGGACGGGACATGTCGAACAGCGTCTCGGTACAGATTCTGACTTAGCGTGTGGGGGTGTTTCCCTTGCTGATTCTCGGGCTAGCATGGTGGTACGCAGGTCGAATAGCGCCTTGATAAGGATTCCGACGTGTCTTGGGCCCAAAATATACGTTATCAATGAGCACCTTCCATCGTATATTTGTTCTTGTACACGATTCTTTGACACTTGGAAGTTATCCTTCATCAATCTAAATGTGACATATGATATTATGATTTAGCTGATCGATTTATAAGAATGTAATGAATACATTATTAGACTCGATAAATTAATAGTTTAATTAACTCATTATATAATAAATACAACAAACTATTATCTTATTGGAATGTGCTAACTTTACAAGGTAAAATAATATTTAATCTTCCAATGTGCTGACCAATAAAGATTCTCATCTTTGTAGGTAAGACTACAAAGATTAAAACTACCGATTTTTAAGCCAATTTTTATTTGAGTAAATTCACCTAAACCATATCCAAACTAGGGCTAATTAAAACCAAACTTCCAATCAACACGAAAATAATAATTGAGGATACTAGCAGAACAAAACAAAATATAGAAATACAATGATTAGGGAGAGATACATCGAATGAAGAGCGCCAGCTTCAATAAAGCACTTATTTTTAATTTTATAAAATATTAAAAATATATTTAAAAGTGTACATGTGTATATATATATATATATGCAAAATTAAATGGTCCAAATTAGCCGAATCAAGAGTGGACAATTGCTTGTATAAAGTGATCTCAGGGCCCAATCTCTTGTGCGTCTCAGAGCTTTAGGACCAATCGACCCATGAGACAATTGCATTCTACCATCTCCGACAGGAACAGATAAGCTTTCCTTTCGATGCATCGATCATCTAATTTGATGCTTCAATCTTCACCTGATTGGAATTGTAATTCTTGTGCAAAAACTAGAGAAACGATACAAAACTCCGCTTTGCGAATGGCGATGGAGGGAAAAAAGAAAGGAAAAGGCAAAGTAAGAGATCAAAGAAGATTCTTTCTCAGTTTCCTATTGGAAGCTGCGGAGACCAACATGCCCACCCCCAAGCACATTACCCAGATCCCTAAATCGACGCCCCATCTCACCCCTTCCATCTCCAACGCAGCATCTTCGCCCTCCATACTCTTCCCGCCCGCCTGCTTTCGAACATCATCGTCGGATCCCTCCAACTCCCAGCCCTCTTCCTCTTCCTCTTCCTCGCCACCCTCGCAGCACAAGCCATCGCATCCGTCCGACTCCTCCGGTATCTCCTCCAACCTCGAGCAAAACCCCCGCCTCCACCGCCGCTTTCTCCTTTCCTCCTCCAAGGCCGCCGCCACCTCCACCCTCTGTCCCATCGACACCCCCTTCTCCCCCACCACCCACACCTCCGCCGCGGCCACGGCCACGGCGGCCGCGTCGCCTTCCGCCGCGCACCGGCACTCCATCCCCCACACGCCCCCCCGCCGCCTGAACACCCCTCTCACCACCTTCTCCTCCCCGACGTACGCCTCGAACCGCACCCCCTCGCCCGCCCTCACCCGGTCCGTGCTGGCGAACACCGCCGCCTCCGTGTCGCCGCTCCTGAACAGCTCCGGCGAGCAGATCCGGTGGAGCGGCACGATCGCCCGGGCCGCGGCGCGAATCCTGGACCCATTTACCTCGAGCAAGCTGCCGTCGATCCGGGGGAGGTAGACGAGGGTGATGGCGCCCGGGAACAGTCTCCGTCCGCCGGCGAGGGAGACGCGTAGGTAGAAGCCCCGGATCTGGAGGCGGTCGCGGTCCCTGGGGTACCCGGCGAGGCCAGAGTTGCTCTCCATGGCGGATCGGCACATCCCGGTATCTCAATCTCACCTTGCCTATGTTTTGCTTGTGTTTTTGTCGAGCAGAGTGACGAGCGTCGGTAGACATATAAGAACGAAAGAGGGCGAGTGATTTGGAGAGCCAAAACTGGCGGATTTCGCAGAAGAGCGCCCTGTTTTTGTTCTCCGGCTTCGCGTGGACTCGAATCGGGGGGTCGCGCGGCACACGGTTTCCTGGTCCGAGCGGCGTTTGACCGGACACGTGGCTGGAATTTAGCGGCCGAGAGAGTCAAGTTTTGGATGGTAGCGGCTCGGCGGTATAGTGAGTCTGGACGGCTTAAAACGTTGGGCCAAGGGTTACGTTAGTTGATCCGGTGAGGAGGTCATAAAAGCGTACATGGCTTGACATCTCTAGCTCACACGAGCCACTCGTGACAGGAGACACTCTCTCACGAGGATAGCGGGCCCCTTGATCCGGTAAAAATGTCATCGAGCGAACTCTGACGTAACCCGAATACCGCATAAATCTTAATTATGTCTGGTATTTTCATCTTTATAATTTAACAAATTATATTAGTATTATTATAGTTATAAAAAATATTTAATTTTGTTTCTCGAACTCAATTAACAGAGTATACGGCGTCACGTATAAAAATCATGTTAAAAAAAAGATAAAACAATAATTTTTATTTTTATTTTTATTTAAATATATTAATTTTGTAACTTCTACGGGGTTTTGTTATCGTCTCTCCAATTTTGTCTTCCCTTCAGACTTTGCTATTCTTTTGGACGATTTATCCAATAATAGTATCAGTGATATTTATATAATAATATTTTTCTTATTTCACTATTCTTCCTAACAGCTTACTCAAGTATGATATCGATAGTGATTCTCATCTTTTACTCTATATTTTTCTTATTTCGCTATCGTATCGGATGCTTCTAGCTTCATGCAAGGCAAATGGCTCTTTGTTGATAATGAGGATCAAAATTATTATTTTTTATCATTATTTTTATATGTGATAATACATATGATATCTTCAGTCTAAAAACGATGATATTAGATGAAATATAATTAAATAATTTATTATTATAAATATAAAAAAATATTTATATATTTTTAAAAAAAATATAAAAATCCAAATATTAAACATACCGTACATAGAATAATATCTAGTTACCCCATAAAAGAGCTACGGAGAACTACTGTGGATCGTAGTGGGTCGGCGGCATTCGCTGTGGCAGAACCAAACCGAACGTTAACGCGTCAATCACTTCGAACGGTGCTGTTCGCATCTGCAAGTCGCCGACGTGATCGAAGTTTTTGCTGTGAATGGTTGACATGAGAACGACGTATGCTTGTGCAAGAGATTCCCAGCAACAATCGAGCCACGGAGGGTGGTGGTAGGACGACGATTCCCGACAAGGAGGAGAGACTCCGGCGAATCGTAGGCTGTGGGCTAATCAAGCCGGTCGTTTCCGTCTACGCCGATCTGATGCAGGGTTTCTCCGCGATTCCCCAGCATTGCCTCCGGTCTGATTTCTGGTGATGGGCTGTCGGTTCTGCCTGCTTCATTGCTGGCGCTTGCGAAGATTAACCCTCCCATAGGTGTGTGCTGGAGCTAATTTATGTGACATAATTAACATCGTATTAATGTGAGATCACAACTGTTTGACCAACTCACCGAAACATTATAAAGAAGAGGAAGACCATACATAATAAGATTAGAATAATAAAGCTTTTATTGAATATATATATATATATATATATATATAATGGTCATTGTAAAAGTAGACCTTCTACGAGCACTAATCGAGCTACAAAAATTTAGATAACATTTTTATTGGAATATAATTAGTTATGTAATATAATAAAATATGTCTAACTCATATTAAATATGCACGATCTAAAGGAAAATATGATAGAAATATTATTTCACTGATTTTTTATTTTTTATTATTTTAAAGATTATTTAAGATTAGTTTGTTGCAAGATGAACTGATTCAATATATTCAAGTCAATGGTTTAATGAACTAATTCTCAAAATATGAGCACTGATTGGTAAAAATGGATTATGAATGATTTTTTTGTTGCGTGGATCGATAAATTGGCTTTTATTGACTAAATTAATTTTAACAAATTATTTCTACACGATATGAGCCTCTTCGGTGCCCCGCCACCGTACCACCGAACATGGAAAGACTTAGACAACCAATATGATATAGTCGGTGCACGTCACTTTGCCACAAAACACTGGTAGATTTGATGGCCAATTATGTTTGGTGGGGGCCGGACTGTATCTTATTCCATCTTAACTCTCCCTCAGTCATTTCAATCAGTCCATTCATCGAACGATTCTCTTATAGTGCGTTGGGATACATTTGAAAGGTTTATTGTAGGTCTAATATAATTTTAAATATAAATTGATGATTGATATTTTTTTAAATCATATTTTGTTAAGATATTATATTGAGTATACTTAAAAATTGATGCTATCTTATCGTAGCATTAGCATTTAAATATTTACAGGATGTTAATATTAATTTATTATATTCTAAAAATATCATGTGATTTTATCTAAAATTATAAAATTATCAAAATAATTTAGTGTGAAACCAATATGATTTCTGTTTTCTATAAGATCAAATTTTATTTATTTCTTTTTTTCAAAAAAATTATATTTGATAATAAAATTATATTTTATATTTATTGCATATCCAAGCAATATATGTACTACATTATATATATATATATATATATATATATATATATATATATATATATATATTGTGTGTGTGTGTGTGTCTATTCACTTTTGAATAAATATTAAAAATATTACATGAATAAATTCATTATAAAATATTTGATAGACTCTTGAAATATAATTTTACCAAACAAATCTTTTACATTAAAAATATAAGTTTTTATTTATTAAATACTTAAAGTACTTCATAATTGGAATAGAATTAGTCGAACTACAAAGATTTAGATAACATTTTTATTCGAATAGAATTAGTTACGTCAACAAGATCGATTGTAATATCATAAAATATGTCTAACTCATATTAATATTCACGATCTAAAGTAAAATATGATAGAAATACTTGCTTCACTGATTTTTATATTTTTTTTATTACTTTAAAGATTATTTAAGATTAGTTTGTTGGAAGATGAACTGATTCGATATATTCAAGTCAATGGTTTAATGAACTAATTCAAGGACTTCTTAAGCATTTGAGCAAATTGGAGGCCCCATGAAAATTCTCAAAATGGATTGTGAATGAATTTTTAGATAAACTATTTTTTATACGAATCAATAAATTATTTTATTTATAAAAAAAGAAACGACGAAGACCGAATCTTTCCAAGATTTTATCGATTAAATTAACTCTAAACAAATTATTTTTACACGACACGAGTCTCTTCGGTGCACGTGCCACAGTGACACCGAACAACGCAAGACTCGCCAACCAAGATGACGTAGTCGGTGCAGGACACTCTGCCACACAACGACGGAAGACTTGACGGCCTATTATAGTTGGTGGGGGCGGTCCTCCATCTTACACTAACGTCACTCTCCCTCGCTAATATTTACACCGATCCATCATTCGACGCGAGTGCGTTCGAGAACAAATATGTAGTGATATTTAATAATTTTTTTATAATTATATTTTTACCATAATACTATATTAAAAATACTTAAAATATCGATGTTACCACATAATAGCATTAATATTTTAGTATTTTTTTTAATATTAATAATTAAAATTTAAAAAATCATATAATTTTATCTAAAATTATCTCATAATCAAAATAATATAGTAAGAAATTAGTATGATTTATATTTTCTATAAGATTCTATTATATATATTTATTTTTAAAAATATATTTATATTTTATTTGTTAGGATCGAGTCGGCACTAACAGGGGTGAATTAGTGCGATGGATAAAATCGCGTCAATTCGAAAAATCTTCGTACGATTAAATATCGTATCGAAAAGTATTTAATTTTAAAAAGTTTACAATAATGTATGTAATGAGCAAATAAAATAAGTAAATCAGTTTGCAATATGAGAATTAAAAACAGAATAAAAATGTAAACCGATTTATAGTGGTTCGGTCGTCGTGACCTACATCCATTCCCGATTCCTCTTCCACCGAAGCCATTGACATCTACTAATGATTTTCTTTCGATAGACGAAGATCAACCACCCTTTTACACTATATTTCCTTTTCACAGGTTTAGGAGACAACCCTTACAAGCCTCTTTTTCTTAGACCTCACTTCTCCCTTTAGATGAACTTCTAAATATTACAAAGAAGTGATCCTAAATCCTAAAAGAGTTTCCTATTTTTTTTTCAAGTATTCTTTCCCTTTTTTTAACTCAATTTCGTGCTTAATTCTTGTTGCTCCATGCAGGAATAGTTGGGGTATTTATAGACTTAAAATGACTTCAAAATTTGAGTCAAAAAAGGTCTCATCTTGGGTTTTCCGGGTACTAGCGGTACTATGGCCTATAGCACTGACACTGGGTGGTACCATCGCTTGGGAGTGTGTCTAGGCGGTACCACCACTTGATAGTCTCGGAGATTGAGTCTGGGATTGATGGTTCCATATGTTGGGTCACTGTTTGAGTATTTCACTTGGCCTAACATAGCCCAAACTTAGGCCCGATTGGCCTCTAATTGAGTTTGCCTAATTCCAACCCAATTATGTGCTAACTATGAATTTTAAGGCATATATACTAAGCTAAATAAGTCTGATAAGTCTAAGTTTCTTCCTGCGAGCTTCCGATAATCTTCCAATTATTTCTCGATAATGTTCCAATGGACTCCCGACACGCTTCTAGACTTCACGATGATCTTTTTGGCGAGTTCATACGAGCTTCTCTAGCAAGCTCCTAGACTTCCCGGTCAATTCCGATAGAACTTCCGACGAACTCTCGAACTTCCAACGAAGTCCCAGAGTCAAGAACGAGATGTTTTTATGCTTTGATCACTATCGTAGTTAATCCTGCACACTTAAAACCTATTTTGATCTAAATAATTATTACAAAGCTAATCAAATATTATCCGTCATGTCATTGGTTCATCGATTTTGTCTGATTCTTCAATGCATCATCCTCTTTTGCAATATATAGCCCAATCGGCCAGTTGACCTCTGCAACTCCGATTTCCTTGGCGTAATTTTCGCTCTTCTTGGCCCGATGCCTGAACCCGTGCCCTGAAGCATTCTATCGATACGTCGACCGATCATTCGGCTTGACGTCCAATCTTCTGAC